CTGAAGTTCTTTATTTTGTAACTGTTCAGCCACGAGGCGGGGTGGAAGGCGGCCCTGCAGCATTGCGGAAGGCTGGTCTGCTGGAGAAACTTAAAGAACAAGGTAATTTTTAAGCCTGATGCCTCCTCACGCTGAAGGTTATCCCCTGGGAAAATGGAGGGTGTCAGGAGTGACACACCTGGATTGCAGCGCTGGCTGGGGCCGTAGAGACGCAGGCTGTAGAGGAAGCAGGGCAGGAGGACAGAGCCGGAGCGCTGGATGAACATCTTCACCCGGGCGCTTTGTCTTTCCAGCGAACTGTGGAGTAAGATGACCTGCGTGTGTGAGCGCTGGGTTGGGGGAACTGAAAATAGGAGGCAGGGGCTGCAGGAAGCAGACCACCAGCAAGAGGACCCCTCTCTGTGAAGGAAAATAAAATGAAATGGTCATAATAACAGCTCCTGGTATTTGCATAGTGTGTGTGTGTGTGTGTGTGTGGGTACATATACAGGGTGTCCATAAAGTTCTTTTGCAATTTAAAGTAATTTTAAATTTTAAGTTGCACTTGAACTTTGTGGACACCTTGTATGTAAGCAGGCACATACAAATTCATATGTACATGTAATATCAGTTAAAGCGTAAGGCTTAATTATATGCTGTCTTTACATATGAAATGTTAAATGAAAAATTTTGGTAAGGATGGGGAGCAACTGGGACGCTCCTAATTTCTGGGGGAATGCACAATGGTACAGCTACTTTGGGAAACAGTGTAGCAGTTTCTTAAGTAAACATACATTTCCCTTTTGACCTGGCAGGAATACGCCTAGGTATTTACCTCTGAGAAGGGAAAGGACATACCCACACAAAGACTTGTTCTCGTATGCTTGTGGCAGCAATGTCGATGATAAAAAGTGGAAACAACAAAATCCTATCGAGGCTCAGCGCCTGTGGCTCAAGGTGCTGAGGTGCCAGCCACATACACCTAAGGTAGCGGGTTCGAATCCAGCCCAGGCCTGCCAAACAACAATGATGGCTGCAACCAAAAAAATAGCCGGGTGTTGTGGCGGGTGCCTGTGGTCTCAGCTACTTGGGAGGCAGAGGCAGGAGACTCGCTTGAGCCCAGGAATTGGAGGTTGCTGTGAGCTGTGATGCCACCGCACTCTACCCAGGGGGATAGCTTGAGGCTCTGTCTCAAAA